ATTAACCTTTAAATGTGGTAAAGTTAAAAACTTGTTCTGAAATTTATTGTACTAAAATAAAGTTGATATAATGAGAATAACAGTTCTGTGCAGACTGAGAATTGATTGATGCTGACACATAGATATCAGTCTTCAAAGCATGAAACTTGAATCTAAGATTATTCTGATTCCTGTGAACAGAAATATCATAACATACACATTTTACATTATTTTACTTCATGAATACGGAACATGTAAGGAACAGCTGCATGCTATTACTGAACTAAGAAATCCTGGTTGGTTGGAATTAATTATCTATTCCATCTGGTTGGAAACACAAGCAGCACTTCATAACTGCTGTAAAGTTCAGTTAGGAAGAAAGCTATTCTACTTTCAAAGTGAAGCATAACTTCTGAAATTCAAGCGTCTGTATCAGAAATGAAAATAATATATGGTATAATATAAATAATATACAGTATCTATGGGGAATGTGCACAACACAATTTATTAAACACATATATGAATATGTGAATAGTACCACTGATTAATGTGGTATTAATTTTTAGTGATTGGATATAAGGCCAAATTATATTATCCATTCATTGATTGTACACAAATTATATTTTAGTTAGACTTTCTTTAGTGCTTTTTCTTTTTTCTTCTGGTATTGGAGATGGTCTTGTGCATGTCAGGAAAGTTCTCTACCACGGAGCTACACCCCTGCCTAACACTTTATTTTCAGTCTTCCACAGATCTTCATTGGAAATACTTTCTTTTGTCTCAACTAAATGATTTCCACACATTACTGTTAATGTTGGCAACAGTGCAATATTAAAAGCAGAACACAGAAAATTTACCATTTTTGTGCAAAACTCATTCCTGGAAAAAGGTATGATCAACAGTACACTAATAAATATAACATTTTTATAAATGCTAAATTTTATTTAGAAAGAATTAGCATGTCTTAGTAAAGGAACTATTGTTCTAAAGCATCTAAATCTGCCCAGCAGTTACCAAATAGAATTTAATAGTTTAAAATTAAAGCAAAAGAAAAGCAACATTAAACTTCAGACTAAATACACAGGAAAATAAAATAGAAATTAACAAGTTATATATTTAATAGATGTAGAATGCACAGAAAATGAGTATTACATTGTTAAATAGAAGTCAGAAATCTTGAAGATGTTCATTTAAGATACACATTGTAGAAAGTAATAAACTTGTAAGAGCAACGGATTGTCCTGGCTACACACATTTTTTGATGGCGATCACATCAAACATGAACTTGGAAAGATATAATGCTACTAGTTTTTTTTCTCGAGTGTACAGATGCTAAGCTGAAATATTCACAAAAGACCATTTATATACTAACAATGTGCTTACAAAGCTTGTGAATGTGCAAGACTGCAGACCCGAGTCCCTGTTGATAGCACACAAACCAACATTCATTTTTGTTTTGTTGTCACTTTACCTGAGTTGTAGAAAAGGTCAGGCCTTTCGAGAATATCTCCTTCATGGATGTATGGCTCAATTCGATCATCACCATACAAGTACTGCTCACTTTCATCCATCTGACGACTCTCTACCATCTCCAACCACTGAGAGTTATGCCAGCGAAACTTCTCACTCTGAATCTTCTTTGCCCATTCATCATCATACTCCTATCACAGTCAAGTTGAGTATAAGGTTATGTCCTTGGCATTCAGAAAGCAATATTTTATTTCATGAGGAAATGAATTTGAGCACCTTTCTTTAGGTCAGAGGGAGCATTAAAAATACTTGTTCAGAATTATGTTTCAGTCAATGAAAAGCAAGTAAGTATAAGTTAAAGAAGTAGCTGCTTGGATTATCAATCACGAATAGCAATCGGCAAATGCTGCAAAAGCTTAAGTTCCATAAATTCATATTTAAGTGTTTTCTAATGATTGCAGAATTTAGGTAAGGAATCTGACTCTCTTTCCAGTGGGGTTTATGGCTATTATTATTTGTGGCACTCGTGGCAGGTGATTAGCATAGCCTCTAGTTCAGATAACATTAAGGGAAGGAAAACACTACTAAAATACTGTTTTAACTGAAATAGTTTACTTCAGAAATACATGGCACAATTGAATTTAATTTCATTCTAAGCATGGAACTGGTTATAATTATTTCTTTAAATGCCCATCTCTTCCTTTGACCATGAATTCATGAGCAGTGACTGAGGCCTATCCACTGACAGGTAATCTGTAATCTGTACTATTTGCCACAAAGAAAAAAGAGCTTGAAAATGTTTTGAAGGCTATAAGCTATGGAAGAACTTAATGTATTCACAGGTATAATTTATAGCTACTTTTCTTTTTAAATTGTTTTTTTACTGAGATATAAAAGTAACATATGCATTTCTGGGGCACTGTGTGATACTCTGATACATGTATGTACTATAAAAATTTTAAATGACGTTATACATATCTGTCTCCTCAAACATTTTTTTTATGTTGTTGTTACTTTGTTTTACTTGATATGGGGTCTCTGTAGTTCAGGTTGGCCTAGAAAACAGTAGGTAGACAAGGCTGGCATGGCCTTGTGGCATTGTTCCTCCTATATATGACTCCTGAGTTCTAGGATTACAGGTGTGAGCCACCATGCCAGACTCACTCATCGTTTTTTAAGGAAAACAAAAACAAAAACAAAAAACACTTCCTGACTTTTAAGTTTTTGAAACACATAGCACATTATAGTTACCTACTCATTCTACTGTGCAAAACCACATCAGAACTACTTATGCTTGCCTAACTCAGTATCTAGAGGTCACACCTTTTCTAATCACTCCAAAACCCATACTTTCCCCAGCCTCAAATAACCACAATTCTACTCTAACTTTCATAAGGTCAAATTCTTAAATTCCACCTGGGTGAGATCAACAAAACTGTTGTTCCATGCCTGTTTAACTAACTTATGATAATCTCCAATTACATCCATGCCACTGCAATCAACAGAATTTCATTTTTAATATGTCAAAACAGTATTCCATGCTGTTTGTATCATGCTTTTATATACTCATTAGTTGATGGACAATTATCCTGTTTCCATATCCAGCTACTATCTTGGTAATATATTGATTTCATTCATTATGGATCTCCCCTGGTAGTATGACTGCAGGATCATATGATAACCCTATTTTCTCTGCTTGAGGCTTCTTCTGACCAGTGTACTCATTTAAAAATGGGCAGTAGATATTGTGGCAAAGATTGTGGTAAAAAAGGCTTGAGATCCCTTTCAGGTTAAACCCTAGGGTTCTCGGTTTCCTCTGTCCTAACTTCCAATATGTTCAGCTATAGCTGTTTAAAAAGGAGTTAGGGGGCACCCAGCACTGGTACTTTCACGTTGACCATAAGAAGTTCAGAGGTGAACAAAACATATACTTAGTTGAACTCAGAAAACATTTTTTAGCCTATGATGAGATTCAAGTATAAAATGTAAATGTGAACTTTTATGTTAAATGTAATTATTATCATAATTTTTATTGTTTAAATGTGACTTGTTCAATTTTAACTTTCACATTATCAGTAAACCTCTTTTAAATGTCAGATGTCAAACTGATGGCTTTATATTGTACATTTTTGAAAATGTTTACTTTCAACTCAGGTTGATGAAGATAGGATTGTTTTTACTATAGTAATTATTTAAAATATTTATTATTTTTATTTTTTATGTATATGAATATATTGCCTGCATGTATGTAAGTACACCCGTGTTTTGCAAAGCCCACGGAGGCCAGTAATTATTTAATATTTATTATTTTTATTTTTTATGTATATGAATATATTGCCTGCATGTATGTAAGTACACCCGTGTTTTGCAAAGCCCACGGAGGCCAGAAGAGGGCATCAGATCCCCTGGAACTGGAGTTATGAACAGTTGTTAGCTGCCATGTGGGTGCTGGGATTTGAACCAAGTCCTCTGTAAGAGCAGTCAGTGCTCTTAACCACTGAGCCATCTCTCCAGCCACTACTACAGGACTTCTAATGGTGATTTTGCCACCAAATGATTAAGCTTTCCTTCTTTTTTAAATTTTTTAAAAATATTTAATTCATTATTTTTATTTTATGTGTATGGGCATATTGCCTCCATGTAGGTGGGTGACCTGTGTCTTGCCACATAGATGGAACTGGTAAAAGGGGGCTCCTCCAAAGCCCATGTGACCCAAGGAACAGATCCTCAAACGACCTTAAGAGAAAAAATAAATTGGTTTATCTGGGTCAACTGTACAGTCTTAAACACCCAAAAGGAAAGTATAACCAAAGATTAAAGGGATCAATGGGGGAGGGGTGATAAAAAAGTATCAATATAGAAGTCTATAGCGCAGCTCTCAACGCGCCCCCGCGCCGGGACTCCCTAAGCCAGATTCACCCCTCCATCACCTCTCGCCGTTCTATACTCCTAGTTTGAGCCCTGTGCCATTCCTAGTCTTGGGGCCCCAGACACCTGGGGAACCAATACTGCTTCCTGACCCTTCTTACCCAGAGCAACTCAGTCACTTTCTTGCGCTCCAGGAGCACCACTTCTGGTCCTGGCCC